CATGTATTTGTGAGCTGATGTGAGAGAAGATTTAGCATCAGCCCGGGTTCTTTGGTCTAGGCTAAAAAAAAGCAAACATTATTTTGACTGCTGTAAACAAATTGAATGACTGGCCAATCTTCTCACTGTATGGAGTGACGTCATTAAGCGGCCATCATGTGACCCATGTGATTTATCTCCACCAAAGAGAGATAATCGCCTTCTCTATCCTTACAGGTGTAAAGATTGATGTAAATGTCCGAATCGATGAAGTCATGAATCAAACTCATGGAAGTTTGACGCAAGACTCTTACGTAAATGGAAGCATTATCGTAATCACTGTGGCCGAGGCTTCGAATCCACAATTCTTTATCACTCAGTTCTGACATAGATATCTGGGCTTTTTTTGTATTTTTATTGACTGCCTTTTGCTGTTTATGTCATGAAATAACTAAATGAAAATTCTTCCGTTAAAATTTCTTGGCGTAATTGTAGCAAGTTAAGCAATAAAATTCAAAGCTTTTCAATAAGATCGAAAAAATAACATTGCTGCAGCGACTATTATTAATATTCTTTGTAGATTTGACTTTTTTCGTGAAAGCGACAAAGAGAAGACATTAAACGTACATCACTAAATGTTCACGTAGTTGATTGACTGAGAGACTGAAGAGCGACAAATCAAAATCGTTACAGAAACTTTTACGATCTTAGAAATTATATAAAAGAAATTTATTCTTGCAAATAAAACGAAATCTGAAATCTAACCTGGTCAGCCATAATGCCGGAATAGTTCATCGGTGTAACACACTTTCGAAGTCAGATCAAACAGCTGCCTAGCGAAAGAAAATTCTCCAACCAAAAACGTACACCATTCGTCTCTCCCTCACTAATGCGCCCACGCATATTAATCTTCATTTTTATTTTATTTATTTATTTCCAGCGACCAAACTTTCTCCATTACTTCTTTTTGGTGTGGGAAGAAGACTGGTTAGGAAAAAAACTGAGACCTATCAAAGGATAAACTTCAAAACTCAACGGACAGAGAATTTGAGGTATTTTATCGAATAAAATCGGTGGGGCAAATGCAACAGGAAAAAACTCCATTATATGAAATTAAATAAAATCCATGAGAAATAAGCGTAAACAAAAGACGAATGACTCAATGAGAAAGATGCGAAAATCGAAAAACTGCAGAACACAGACGTAGATTGCATGTACAAAAATATAAAAGTAATAGGATAGAAAACTACTTGCATATAGGATGTATAAAATCTAAAAATAGAACAATCATAATGAAAAAATAGGTACTACAGATATGATACGAGAAAATTGAAGAGATCTTCAATGACAACGGAGGGGAGAAGATTACAATATATATAAATATGGAAGGACTCATTTTATTGATATCTGAGTTTAATTCCTCATTTGAAAAAAATTGAAGATTGACAAAGCAGAAGTATATGGTAAGACAGTAATAAAGACGATGATTCATTGATTCGGTGAGTCAAGTTTGTCATTGATAATGTTCTTGTACACAACATGTTCTTTAATGACATGCGCAACCATTACTCTTCACAAATTCATGTTTCTTCTTCCTTAAAAACCCTTGTTAATTTACAAACCTCATTTTCCTATGCTATTTATTCAATCAAACACCTTAAGGTGTGTATTCGTTTCTTCCCCTGCTTATGCTGAATTCAGTATACCATGTGGATATTAAATTCGCCTAGTCTTTTTTCTTCGATATATTTTTCAAGAGTTTTAGTTATCTCCTGCTGAATGGGAACAGTGGTTTGCATGTAGTTTTTATTCGTAAACCTCCCTCATTACTCCCGTGATATCTTCATGATATTCTCAGTATAGGCCAGGAGAACAAATTAGTTGAAAAAATAAAACGCAGCTCTGAAACAGCGAAGGACCTTATCAAATCAACTTCCATGGTGCTGTCAAAAGAAACTAACTTTTTAATTTTAATAAGGCAACGAGTCTGGAGGTTTCTCTCTGTTCCTCTTGCATTCAGTATGTTCTGTGGCTGACAGATTCTCTAAATCGTTTTTATTGTTATCTATCCCAGAATTTTCAAATCCTTCTGATTCTAATTATAAATGGTTTTGTTCACATTTTCCTTCAAACTGGCTCATACGTTCTACCCATAGTATTCTCAACATCCTTCTATTGAACCAAATATCTGTTACTTCGAGTAATCTTTTCATCTGACAGTAAATGGTCCAGCATTCACTGTTATATAGAGAATTTATATTACATAACAGTTTTTTAAAGCGTTTCACCCCAAGCAAGGCGGGAAGCCACTAGTACACAAGGGGTTACAGAGAGTTGGAGCGAGAGAAAATAGGCGTGATAGAGGAAAAGATGAAGAGAAGGAGAGAGAATAGATCAAGGCATATGGAGACGTCGATAGACATTACAATATAGCTATCAGGGAAACAGGAAGAGGGGAGGGAGTTCCACAGGCGAGAACTGCAAGACATGAATCTATTGGAGTAGAAGAGACGGCTATATTTAACAGTTTCGAAAGTGTGAGCGAGATGCCAGTCTAGTAGAACGCTTAAATTCATGAAGTTTGGGAACCAGCAAAAGCAGCTACTCGGAGCAGTTACCATGAAAGTATTTGTAAAAAAGACAGAGGGGGGCGACGGCACGCCTGTGAGAAAGCGACTGTTGACGAGATGCCAGGTCAGAGCCAATTACGCTGCATATCCGTTTCTGGATCTTATCAAGAACCTTGAGACAAACATAAGGGGCACCAGACCATATATGGCCGCAATACTCCATGCAGAGGCGAATGGTTGATTTATAGAATACTAATACTTTGTTTAACTTTTGGACAACATATCTCACCAACTCAGGAACCTTCATATTTTCATCGTCTTTTCGAACACTCCACAGATATTTAAATAAATCTCCTTCGGAGATTCTGGCGTTTCGAATTTGTACCGTTTGCTGAGGTGCTGCTCCTAGACGAAATAAAAGCAGTGGCAACCAAAATGTACACATGTAAATGACGGGTCGTTATTTTTAATAGAGGTGAATGGAAATTGAATAGATTTCAACAAGGCGATAATGTTCATGTGTGTTTAAAATGACAGAGTACTATAAGGAGAGAAAATGCACTAGTATGTATCTAAAATAAAAAGAAAATATTAATAGTTATTAATTATGTGGGGGATACACGCGCGCGTGTGTGTGTATATGTTCAGCCATGCGGGGAAAGATATCCCCACGCCAGGGATAAGTTCCCGATTGGTGTTGATACAACAGCATTTTAGAAAGAAAAAGACAAATAGAGAAAGAAGACTGGAAGCGCCCCATTATTGTATCTGCTTAATAAAGCTAGCTAATGACGTCTTGGCCAAACTGAAAAAGCCATGATTACAAATGCATCTAGCTAATAACCTTGTTCATAAAATAATACCTTACTTTTCATCGGCGTTAGTTATCGATTTAATAGTCAAGATTTGACCTACTGATTTACCAGTCATATAAAACTACTCTAATTTGCAAACTGAATCAACACATTCTTCATGTTCCCTTGAATTTGAGTTTTTTCCAGACAAAGTTAAGCATAATGAAAAAAATGATGGCAAAATAACCAGTGTGTATTTTGCATTTTAGCTTTCAAAAAAGTGCCAACGTACATTTTGGCGGAAGGAAAGTAAGACTAAGCCACAACATGGCGGTATACGAGGCTGATTTAACTGTCCGATGCTAGCATGGTTATTTTGAGGAATTCATATTCAAACAAACAACGCAAAATAAAGATTGAGATGAATGAGAGGGGGGAAGCTAAAATTTTCATCAGCATCAAAGAACAATTATTTTAAACTCAGAGAATTCGTAACAGTAAACGAGAATAAAGAAATAAATTGATTCATTAAATAAATAAACAAATAAATAAATAAAAATGAACAGAAAGAAAAGAGATTGAAATTGAAGGATTACTTACAAAGAGAATCAAGCAAGCTAACAAACGTCAGAGAACACATAACAAATACTATTTGGCCGAACGAAATGTTGTTAGAGTTTCTTTTCCTACATCATCTCCTGATGGCCATTTGCAAGCGTCCCTATTTTAACTAACCAGAATTGAGAAGGCGGGCATAAAAGAAATAACATTATAGCAATGTACAAGGAATATCACAATATGTCTATATACAAGGAATATAATCATTTTAGCTATATACCCTGAAAAATATTGTGAAAGGATTTCTCACTATTTATATTATTCGGACTATTCTCCTCATCTTTGTCGCCATATTTATTACAACATTTCGGCCATTGTACGCTCCAGTCTTCTTCAGGACACATGGCACACTGGATAAAGCCGTTAGTTAGATCCAGTGACAGTACCCAGAGATTGTGAGTTCAGTACATGGTTAAGGCAGTGGAGAACGTGGAGAGAGGAATTAACAGGAGATAACTGATAACTGAGACCCATTAAAACATGGCACGTGGAACTAGAACAGTCTACTCCAGTGACCGAAATAAAGGGTTCATTCAGTTCCACATTCCAACCACCTGAAGAAGGCCGGAGCGTACAACGGCCGAAACGTTGTAATAAATATGCCGATAAAGATGAGGACAATAGTCCGAATAATGTAAATAGTGTATATAATACCACATCTCAGAAATATAGACAGATACCGAAAGAATTCTGCGTCTTTTATTCGCCACGTAACTGGATTAATATTATTGAGCGTTCATTTTTAAGACATGAAAATAACCATCTTGCTTTTACATTTCTTGATGTCTGATCAAGAAGAGAGAAAAGAAAATCAGAATATTTCATTCTTTGTCGACGATACTGGCTGTCTTAGTGGCAAGGGGATTTTATTGAGAAAATATTGGCGGGAGATGGAATAAAAAGCTTAGATAAATGCAGAAGAGAAACTAGGCGACATTAAGAAAAACGGAATTATGATAGGACTAGCAAGAAACAGTTTTATAGATCTAAAAATGTCGAAATCGATGAGTAAAAAGAGAACTACGAGAAGAAAGGAAAA